CCCATGTGGCATGGGTTGCGTGCAGGGAGAGCAAACATGGCCTTGATGAAAATGTTTGAGATAGATTTCAGAGCACCGCAGTTGGCACCAATGGACACGTATGTTCCCTGCAGGTAGAGATCTGACAGGTGATTTGTCATGATAGCCACACCTTACTGGCAACTCTGCACACTGCCACAAGCAAAATGCCACCATGGACTCTCTAGAGTTTACCCGGCATCTCATGGCTGGAAAACATCTAGTGATTTTTCAGGAACTATAAAATCAAACACTCTTCAGTTTACCATCATAATTACTGAAAGTCATTCATTGTTATAATTCAAAAAATTTACCGCATGCAGGAGATACAGTTCTAGCCGATAAAGGAGGCGTTCTTTCCTTTAGTGAATGTGCTGAGTATCTTTCATATGTCATGCATGGTTGTAAGAGAGGGGATAATCACCATTGTCCCTGCTTAGAAGGAGGCTAGTTAATGAATAGTAACTATAGACTGTGTCAGCTATGATAAATATGAAGAAGAAACTTACAGGGCTGTAAAGGAACAGAGAGTGATGAGGAAGTTTGGGCAGAATGGTTGAGGAAGACTTCTCAAATAAGACACTATTTGGTCAGAGAGCTGAAGGAAAGAAGCAGCAAGCCACTCAGGAATAAAAGAACAGAGTGATGTAAGCATAAGGGAAAGCAAAATATCCTTAGCAAGAAAAAGAGTGTATGCACCTGCATCAGAGTGAAGGGGAGATACTACTAGAACATTCTATAGGTGATGGGAGGTGGAGGTAAACCAGATCATACGTGGCCTTGAAGGCAATAGTAAGAGCTCAGAATTCCCTTCCCCTTGGAACTGAGTTGGTCCTACTGACTTCAATTTTCAATTGCATCAGTCAAATGATGTTCTGTGATTTCTGAGTCTGGGTTTAAGGAAGCTTTGCAAGTTCTATGTACTCTATGAGTAAGTGAGCTATCAAGTAAAACATGTGCTGCTGTGAGACAGCCACGATGGACAAGCCACAAGTACATGCCTGTGGCTTAGTGGGCTAAGCCTCTCCCTGCAGTGCTGGCATCCCATATGGGTTCCAGTTTGTGTCCCAGCTGCTCCTCTTCCAATCCAGTTCTCTGCTTATGGCCTGTGGGAGCTGTGGAGGATGACCCAAGTACTTGGGCCTCTGCACCCACATGGGAAACCTGGAAGAAGCTCTTGGCTCCTGGCCCCTGGCTCCTGGCTCCTGGCTTTGGATCAGTCCAGCTCCAGCCATTGTGGCGTAGGCCAGAGGTTGGAGGACCTTTCTCTCTGTCTCTCCTTCTCTCTGTGACTTTGTTTTTCAAGTACATAAATAAAATCTACTGACTTCTTGAAATTCCTAATGATTTTTGAACACAGGAACCTGAGTTTTTAAGTTTCATACTTAGCCCCACAAATTATCTAACTAGTCTTGCAGATAAGTGAGAAGCATCTTGTTCCTCTAGACCAATCTATCTACCTGTCAGTCCTTAGTTGGTGCCATGAAAAGCCAAAGAATCATCCAGATGAACCAAATTTGTGATATAAAGAAGCTGTTTTAAGTCATTGCTTTTTGGGGGGTGGTTTGTGATGTAGAAATAAAGAGATCAAGGTTCATTTTAAATTGTTTCTGTGACTCCCAACATGAGACACACAGAAGAAATTTCTCTGGGTTGAAAAATCAATATTTGGGAACAATGAGTGTAGAGATGCTATTAAACCCATGGTACTAAATCGGATGACTTGAGGAATGAGCACACCTAGAGGAGAGGCCTGAAGATTGAGCCTAACTTCTTAATCTCCAAGCTAGTGAGGACCTAACAAAACAGACTGAAGGAAGGCTGTGAGGTCATAGAAGAACCAGGGGAAATAGAGCCTAGGAGGCCAAGGACAGCTAACATAGTGTGGAAGATGCAATGATCAGTGTTGTCAAAGGCTACTGATTAAAGCAAGAGGAGCACTGAGCCCTGTCCATTGGATTTGGCGGTGTGAAATCATTAGTAGCATTGGGAAGAGCAGTTTCACTGAGTGATGGCAATGGAGGCCTGACTGGAGAAGTGTAAGAGGCAAGGAGAGAGGGAGCAGAAAATAGAGTTCACAAGCCCAGGAGGCCTTTCAATGACTTCTTCAATGACAGGAAGCAACAACTGAAGAGGGACAGACAGGGTCAAGACATTTTTGTTTGGGAATGAAATTGGGAAAGAAATTCTCATTGGGAATGAGAATGATACAGTAAAGTAGAAAAAACAATGATGACACAGAAGTTAGGTCACAACAGAGAAGCAAATAACTAAACAAAGTAATTTCAGATTGCCATCAGTGCTGTGAGGCCCGAATGGAATCCAGAGAAATGTGAGGATTTCTACTTATTTACTTAAAATTAAAAATTTTCATTTAAGAGACAGAGTCCCTATTTACTAATTCAATCCCCCAAAGCCTGCAACAGCCCAGGTCCCAGCCAGGAGCTGGAGACTCAATCCAGATCTCCTGTATGGGTGGTAGAACAGAAATACTTGAGCAATCACTGCTGTCCCCCAGGGTTTGCATTAGCAGGAAGCGAAAATCGAGAGAGGAGCTGGGACTTGAACCCAGGCACTCTGACATGGGAGATGGCCATCTCAACTGACCTTTTAACCCTAAATCAAACACCTGCAGTGGAATCTTACTTTAGATAACTTTAGAGAAGTCATCTCTCAAGAGATGATGGAGCTGAGAATTGAAGTTTTGCAATCGGCCAGGGGGGAGGATGGAAGGCAGGGAGGGAGGGTATGAGAGGGACAAAGAGGAAAAAGAAAGTTTAGGTGACCCAGCTGAGCTTAGGACATTTTGCTAAGTGCAGATTTTGAGTGTGAAGAGCCGTTCCTGAGGGTTTTAAACAGGTGAATGTTTTACTATCACTAATAACATTATTAATAACGATTTTCTCATCTTGCATTTTTAAAGTGCTTTATGGTTTGAAAGGGCTGATCTCATAAATGGAAGCTCACAGAGTTCAAACCATTTTTCTGAGATCGTAGCACAGACCCAGGCACTGTGTAAAGTTCAGAGAACAGGCTCAAACCCAGGTGCACAGCTTGCAAAGCTGGTGGGTTTTTCCCACCCCTCCAGTCTGCTCCTTGCACCACATGTACACCCTCCCCACACCTAATTGTGTCACTGTTTCTACTATGTCTCAAGAAACTCTGGATTGCCAGCCAGTAGCTCTTTTTTGATTCATAAACACACCAGGGAGATTCCCAAGGGTTTCATAATTTATGCCTGGTGCTACTCACAAAAGAAGTCAAATGCTCTTCTTTCTTTCCACTTCTCCTTTCCTCCTTATCCTAAACTCTCACAGTTATTGTTATCTCTTGTCTGTCATTTTATACGATTATGATGTCTTCTTGGATGTCAAGGATCTAGTCTTCTACTTGTTTTGATTCATCTTACTAGGCACAGAGTGGGAAATAGCATACTCCTCAGATAAATGGGATAATATGCTTGAAAGGCCAAACTTGTTTTCCTTGGAGCTACAGAATTCCTCCACTACATGTTCAGAACAAAGTCAATGGGATAATCACAGTGGACACAATTTCAGGACTTCTGGGGCAAGTAGCTCAGGCATTGAGTGTGCTAGAAGCAATGTTGTAAAACACTAAGAACCTAGACTTTTTCAGAAAGATAAGCCTTGGGGCCAGCGCTGTGGCTCAGTGGGTTAATGCCCTGGCCTGAAGCATTGGCATCCCAAATGGGTGCTGGTTCGAGATCTGGCTGCTCCTCTTCTGATCCAGCTCTCTGCTATGGCCTGGGAAAGCAGTAGAAGATGGCCCAAGTCCTTGGATTGGCACGGCTTGGGCTAATTGCAGCCAACTGGGGAGTGAATCATCAGATGGAAGACTTCTCTCTCTTTCTCTTTCTCTGCCTCTCCTCTCTCTGTGTACCTCTGACTTTCAAATAAATAAATAAATCTTAAGATAAGCCTTTCAGATCTGATTGTTTGAGAAACCAGAACTTTTTCTACTATCTACATTGAAGAGACTCATTTTAAATGATAAACTCACTTTTATTAGTAAATGAGAAATTTAGTATTTTAAGCATATCATATTAAGATTTATGCCAATTATATAAAACTCAATTCTAGAGACTATTATAGTTGATTAAATCACTGAGATTTGTGATTGAACCATACTAACTGTATTTAAAAGTCTGTATCATAGCTTTTCACTTGAGTCTATTAAATTTTCATGTCAATTTTCCAGGCATTTTGACCATAATTCAGTGAGCAACAGGACTCTTAAATCCTTGGAACAGAGAAAGGCCTTCTAAATTAAAGAGCATATTTTAATCAACATACAGTTAACAAAGACTTACTTGCTAATTTAGACTTCTGATCAGAATTACTTGCATATGGTTTTGTTTTGAAATCTAAAAGGCATTGGCTATAAAATAAGATGTGAAAGTGAATACCAACATCAGTCTTTCACATAGGCACAGAAATGATCTATGTCAAATTCTGATTTGAGTGACTCAGGAATAATATAGAATTTACCTTAAGGCTAATGCCAGAAAGTGGCTGAAAATATTTTACTGGTTCAGGTGGTCCCAATCCATTAAAATCCTCCAAACAGAGGAGCTAAGGTGTCGTAGTCTCTATCATCTCTATCATCTCGAGTGAAAATGGGCCAAGGTAAATAAGATTTTCCTAATATTTCATATTTTTTCAACCAGCTATGGCTACACTGAAGTAGTATTACCATGATAGCCTTTATTCATTGTAGAAAAGTTGAAGTTATTGAAAATTTAGTACAAGACAGGACCATCTGCATTGCATGATTCAGTTTATCTTCAGAGATGATTGACTATTTTAGTTTGGGACATAAAATTAATGCAGCGCAAGATTCATCTCCCATGAAATTTTTTCCACCTCTGTGAGAGAGAAATCATTCTTTTTGGGTTTAAAGGCATCAAGAGGCAAATGAAAAAAAAAAGCACACTAAAGCTGAATTGCTTTTCTCATTGATAGGAGAATCGTGCACAGCTTCTACTTTTACTGTACACAGATAACAAAATGAAGGAACTACTTTTACAGTAAGTCCCATTATTAGACCACATTTTCACACCACTAAATCCTTGTAATAAGAAAAAAAATAACCTGTCAGGAAATCTACAAATGATTCAACAGCAAGTTGAGACTTGGAGACAAAAATTGCATAGTGCCCACCTGTATCAGCTTAGCTATAATTACGTTGATGAAATTATGTGTAATTTTTTTCATTCAGGAAAAGTTTATTCAACTCAAATTAACAGGTAATACTGGAGAACCTTTCCCATTCAAGGTACTGCATTTGTGTTAGGCATCGCTAGAGAAGCACAGGTAGCTATGGTTCTGGTCCTTAAGGACTTCATAATCTGATGGGGGAGGTAGGCAAGTACACAATCAAGTCTAATACCAAGGAGTCTTCCTAAAGCACATGGAAAATGCGTATTATGAAAAAAAACTATACATGCATTTTAGGAATTGCTTGCACTAAAATGAACTTACCTTTTGATCCCATTTTTCCATAAGCTTTTTGAAGTAACCTTATCTAGGTCTACCTGTGACAAGTGCTATGTGATAGGATGGTCTAAAAAAGTGCAATTGATTCGACTCAGGAGAGTGAGGAAGGCTTCAGAGTGAATGGTGGTTAGAATCTCTTCCACAGGTGGACAGAATAAAGGGCTTTCCAAACAAAGAAGAGATCAGATGGAACAATTCAATTATGACTGGAACACAGTCCCGATAGAGAGCGATTAGAGATGAATCTATGTGGGGGAATGGGTTGGAGACAGAAGATACGAGAAGATTCAGACTCAAGGACCAGCCTGGAGGATAGTGAAAAACCAAACTAGGGTGTGGAGAGTAGGAATGGAAATGAGGGAGAGGCTATGTGGGCTTTGTGATCAGCCATCATCAGGTTCTTTTATTTTGTCTGAAATTACCTCTGGGATATCTTCCGTTCATCCTTCGAAACTCTACTCCAGTATATGTCTACAGGTAAAGCCTTCTTGACCATCTCAGGCAACGTTTGTCCCTCCACCTTGGTGCCTCCCTAGCATTTGGCTTTCACCATGCCTGAGTTCTTATAGGCTGCGATCCAGATGAGCAGCAGATTTGGAGAAGGGCCTCATTTTGGATCCACTGTTTGCAAGGTGTTTTTCAATAGAGGTGAGCAGCAGGCAGCTATAATCCCCATCTGTGACTCAGGAAAAGCACTTGGTTTCAGGTGAAGATTTGGGAAGAATTTTTAAGGTAAAGATTTGGGAAGAATTTGCAGGGAAATAGCTATAAAAATAAAGTTTAAAGAAAAAGTAATGACGATTCAGTACAGTTTGAGTCTAAAATATTCATTTGAGTCTATTCCTAACTTGAGTCTATCAAAATATTCATTTTTTTAAAAAAATTCAGAATTAGCTTTGTCCCTGATGAACTTACAATCTAAAATTTATGATCAAAAGTGAAGTATGCCATTTGATGGCAGACTCAATATTTTTATTGGGGGAATTTAAAATAAGAAAATAGAAATTATTATTAATATAAAATGAAGAAAACTTCCTGTAAGAAATGCTAGGTGTCAATTTTTAAAAAAGATTATTTATTTGAAAGGCAGAGAGAGAGAGCAAAAGAAAAATATCTTTCATCCTCTAGTTTACTCCCCAGATGTCTACCATGGCTGGGGATGGTCTCTCTCTGTCACTCTGGTGTTAAAATAAATAAATCATATATATAGAAAAAGAATAAATTCAAGTGTGTGGTGAAAACAGTCACTGGTCCTCCACTCAATGCCTAACCATCAGGTCAGTCCACAGGAAGGGAGAAAATCTGTAAAATGAGGCTCAGGAGTACATGGCTACTGAGTCTATGGGAAACGTGGTGAAGCCTCAGAACTTACATGAAGTTACAATTTTCAGAGTAAATATGGAATTCTGTTGTTTCCAATAATACTGGGAAGCTGTTCAGAAAGCATTTTTTTCTAAAAGGAAAGGCAAGGTATATTTTTGCTTTTCAACTGCTATTGCAAGTGTTGATAGATTTGGAGTTGGAATGACTTTTTCCATGTGGGGTTCTTCACATCAGAGGAGAGGAGAAGAGTGTTAGGATAAGGGATACATAGCAGGTTCTTCAAGTGAGGACAGAAAGATGAGAGACAGTGAACAAAGGAGAAAGAACAACTCTTGACAAAGCCCATGAAGGCAGGGATAAGATCAGGAATGGAGGAGGAGGAGTACTCAGGAAGGAAGGTACTAAAAGGGAGATCATAAATGCAAAAAACTACCAAAGAGGGAAAGCTGAGCGAGAGTTGATGACAGGGAAGCAAAAGCAGAGAGAAAGAAGGGATCAATATCAAAAATAATATTACTGGTGGACAATGTCAACAAGTATTTATGGAATGATTCATTGCTGGGGATGATGAGGAAGGTGGTGCAAAATGATATAGACACAGAGAATTTAAATCTGATACTAGTAGAGCTAGCTAAGTTGTTCCCCCCAAAGAGCTAGCTAAGTTGTTCCCCCCAAAAAACAATAGCAAGGCTTAAGAAATGAAAAGAGTCCAAGAAGAAAGAGAAGAAATTAGGGTGATCAAGAAAACAGCGAAGAGTTGACAAGCGAGTGATAGTGTTGATTGGATTAGTTTTCTTTTGTTTTAGAATGAAGGAGAGCAGGGCAAGTTTGATGGAAAGCCAACAGGCAGCATTTGAGGGACCAAGAGGGGGTCATGAAACCAAACTGCCTCCTCTGAGCACAGAATTTAGAATACAGAGCAAATTCAGTAAATGTGGGTCCACATGGCGATGACTCAACCTTGGCTCTCAAAATCTTTCCAGTGCGCACACATGACCAAGAATGCTCAAATGTTCTGTACCATCATGGGGGAATATAATTTCTGGAAAATCCACTGTAATTTCACCTCATTCTCACTCATCCAGGAAGAGCCTCTCAAGGTGCAAATGAGAAAGAGTGACACTGAATCCCTCTCTTGTTTATACAAATCCCCAGCATGCAATGCCAGAAAACAAGAGAAAGGGAAGCTCCCAGCTTATGGATTAAGAGGATATGACCCATCAGGAAGTGTGACAGAGGGGCTTTTGTGTCTCAGCCACTTGGGTTAAGAGCAGGGCAGGAGAACCTTGGGCTCATGAGAAAGTCTGATGAAGTTGTTTCAATAGCTGGGTCTTGAGACAGGATGTGCTAAAGAGGAAAACCTGGGCGAAAGCTGGCGCAGCCAAAGGCAGGCAGAATGGGGAGAAGCTGAAGTAGCGTCTTGGAAAGAGGGCCGGGTGGCTGGGAGAGTTTGTTGTGGCCTCACTCCCTGCTGGGCAGAGAGCAGGCATTGGCCCTGAGAGCTGGAGACCAGGCAGGACTGAGGGGTTGAGGAGCAGAGCCGCCCACAAAGTCCAGGTTTGTTACTGAAGACAGCCGACTGGTGGGTCAGATATACCCATCTCCCACTTCGGTTCCTTTCCCTCGGTTTTTGAAAGTGTTACGAACGATGTTTATTTTTAAATCTTTAAGTATCACTCCATCATATGGGATTTTCCACCAGGACTTAGAAAAAATGCAGATTGCACTGTAAAAATGCTGTTCGCTCAATCAAAGTCTGCTTTTACTGAGTAAATTTCTTTATGATGTTTAACTTTGGTTCAGGGTCCTGATTCCGAGAAGTGAAATTTGGTGGCGTGAGAAGGAAAAACAACACAGAAAGAAGCAAACCTCACGATGGCCATTTGAACACAATCGGAGCTTGTTTACTGCTGTGGACTTGGAACTTCCTCTGAAAAAAAAATGCATGCGATTAGGAAAATAACTAAGCAGCTAAGAATAGTCCTCTGAAACCTGAGAGCCACCTCTCTTCTTTCTCACTCCTGGCAGTGCAGTTAGCAAGAATGTATGTTTTTAATACGCTGATTCTTAGCCACAAAATACTTCTATAATTAGTACAAAACTTGAATAATGTATTGTCTGTTATTGTGCACAGCACATAATATTTGGAGACTTGTACTGGCAGATTCGTTCACATATGTCACCACGGTACCTGTAATTTAGTTTAATGCCAGGTCAATGTTCAAAGTGCCTGTGTGTGTGTGTGTGTGTGTGTGTATTTAAAGTTTTACCTGATAGTTATTTCATGAGGCTTCTCAGTAGCTTTCTGAAGTAGTGTCCATTTTAAGGAAAACGTAATCAGTCAAAATGACAATTTCTTGCAGGAATGCACAATATTCTTTATTCACACAAGGGCATTGAGTGGTGCATCAATGGCTCACCAACTAGGAAATTATTTAATAATTATCCCTAAAAAGGGCAAGACTGGGTGAATGTGCAATTAGCAATCCAGGGTCTTGCCCAGAAAAGTGCTATCTTTTGAGCAAGTCTCACCAAATCAGGATCTGAAATCAGTCTGCAAGACACAGTGAGGTGTTACAGAGAAGCCTAGCAAATCCTTTTCAGTTTTAATTGTTCAAATGTATCACAGAAAGACAGATAGTTTTCAGATCCAGGAAATCATTGGTTGGCAGAGGACTCAAGTTTTTGCACACGTGAGCAACCTGCCCCAAAGGAGGGTGTTTGAAACAGGATGCGTGCCAGGCCCTCCTACATCCATCTCACTCCGAACCGTCTTGTCTCTAGAGGTGTGGCCGCAAGAAATCTCAGATGCAAAAGGACTCCCCTCTCTGCCCAAAATGAAGGCGACCTCACCTTGCAACTCTTTTGAAATGACGTTCCTCTCTGGTAAGGGACCCTTGGTAGGAAGTGTATGGTTGATTCCCTCACTCCCCACCAGATTCACTCGTGCAGACAGCAGCAGGATTTTTTGTACACGTTCTCATCATCACTTAAGTCTCCAAGATTTAGAGTATTTTGTTCATCTGAACGTCTACCCAGTACAAACCTTGGGCATCAATATTAACGTGGAGAACTCCCTCTTTGGTAGTCACAAGCCTAACGCACATAATCCTTTATCTCTGGCAAGGCTATTAGCTTTCTGGCCTTTGGCTGGTCGATGTATACAGTATCTATAGTTATTGCATGCAAGCGTTCTCAACTGACTTGCAAGCTCTTTGATCAAACCAGCTAAACTTGATTTTCCAGATTATTCGAGAGACAAGGCACACAACGATCAGCTTTACAAGTCCTGGCAGGCCATCAAGACCCAGAGCTCCCCACTCCCTTTATCAGAATCAAAGGTAAACAGGGAGCCAGCTCTCATTTAAATACGTAGCATCGGGATCTCGCCTCGACTTTCACAGTTGTAGCAGCAGAAGAAAAACAACAGTTGAAGTTAAGAAAAAGGTTTCCTTGGCACGGATGCCAAACTAAATAATGACACCCAAAGCAAAAACATGCTTCACTGAAACTAAACTTTAGACGATTCAGCCTACTTAAAACAAAGCTTTTTTTGTGTTTTCAAAAGTGAACATTGTACTTTGCTCTGGCAGCCATTTATATGTTTTTGAATGATCCAATTATGCATAAATCCCCAGCCTACAGACCTTTCAGCACCTCAGACCTGTAAGTGATTTGAAAACACGACTGAAAATTTCTATACACAGTCTCTGCCCTTTCTTCCTCTTAACCTTTTGAAACGCACACTTTGAGTGACAGTGTTTTGACATACATTGTCATTGTGCATTTTCTCTTTCTCCCTCTCTCTTATTACCTTGGAAATATTTACAGGAAGGTTTCCCGCGAGATCAAGGACTTTACTTGCTTTTCCCCGGGAGCCCCATTCCTCATCACCCCTTGGCCTATCTCTTGTTTTGTGGACGTCATCATTCCACTGATGCCCCTGAATTATTGAAGACGGTCGAAGTGACCACCTTTGTGGTTTGTACAGTCACAAGTAAGAAGGCAACAGATGCAATGTCAAAGCTTCTATTTGAACAGTGATATGCATGCCTGGTTAGTGAGTAGCTCACTGGATTAGCAGCGTATAAACAGTACTAGTTTGTTCAGAGGTGAGATGAGCACTGAACAGTTTCTCAGCCTCGCTTTCCTTTGGGGTGCTCCGTAGCTAGTGATGCTGGCACAGTCCCTGGGAAGGGGCAGCAGTTCTCGGTACATCCTGAGCTAGGCCCTTGGACAATTTCCAGGTGACTTTTTTTTCCTCTTCTACAACTGGAGAAATGGCTCTTATTATCCGGTCAGATTTTAAATGCACCATCACATTCTACAACTCAGAGGTTTGCACAGAACAGGATATTGTCCTCCTCTGTCTCTTTGGCATTACCTGGAAGCTCTTTTTAGATGCTAAACAGGAGTAGGAAATGACCCTTACTACTGGTAATTGAGAGGGAAATTCTCCATAGGCTTCCCCAATGGCTCAGTGTGGCCAAAAATCGCGGTCCCTCAAAGCCAAGTCCAGGATAAGGATAAATCCCCAAATCATTATGAGACTTCCCTGAAATATCATGATTGTTCAGACTAATCTTTAAGAATAGATGATTGGGGTCGATGTTGTGGCTTAATGGGTAAAGCCACTGCCTACAATGCCAGCATCCCATATGGGCACTGGTTCGAGTCCTGGCTGCTCCACTTCCTATCCAGCTCTCTGCTATGGCCTGGGAAAGCAGTAGAAGATGGCCCAAGTCCTTGGGCCCCTGCACCCATGTGGGAGACCCGGAAGAAGCTCCTGGCTCCTGGTTTGGGATCAGCGCAGCTCTGGCCATTGAGGCCAATTGGGGAGTGAGCTAGCAGATGGAAGGCTTCTCTTTTTGTCTCTCCTTCTCTCTCTGTGTAACTCTGACTTTCAAATAAATAAATAAATCCAAAAAAAAAAAAAAGAATAGATGACTCTGCCAGAGACAGAAAATTCTGGTGTGTCTCAGCAACCGCTGACTCTCTTGCCTACTTTATCTCCATGTGAGTACGTGCGTACATTCTTGTTTCTGTCTCCTTGACAATGTCCTAGCCTCCTGGTCTCTTTCCTCTCACTCTAGATGTGCTAGCTAGATAATATTATCTACTAGCAGAATTCCAACTGCCCATTCTTTGGTGATGATTCTCAAATCAGAATCTCCAGGCAACACTGTTCTTTAAAGGCTTTCAGAGTGCTTTATCCAACTAATTACTAGATACCTGCACTCAAATGGCTCCCAGGTACCTCAGACTCAACCTATCCATCACTGTCATCAGGCGCACACCTCCTTCTGTCCTGTGACCTGTGCCTTGCGTCTCAGTGAATCACCTCACCTTTACCACAGTGTTTGAACCATCAACCCGAGAGCCCTTTGGATTTTCCCCCATCCTTAGGTCACAACATCTGATCAGGTCAGGTCTTACTGATTCTGTCTTTCCCAAACCTCTTAGATGCGCCCATTTCACTGCCTCTCTTTGGCACACGCAGCAGACAGCTCTGCACTGTCTCCTACCTGGCTTATTAGCTGAGCTCCTTGTCCTCAAGCCTTGGCCCTTGACATTTGTGAACTACAATTCACAAACTTGCCGTTCTGCTCAAAGCCGTCACTGGCTTCTCCTTACTCTTTGGATAATATCCAAGCCCTTTAACATAGCTTATAAAACCTTTGGGTGGTGGTGGTGGTGGTGGGGGTTCCAAAAAGTGCATGGGAAAGGCACGTTACGTTTTAGTTTTATTTTCCACAAATGTTTTGAAGCCTCCTCCTATATGTTTCTGTTTCTTTCTTTTTTTTTTTTTTTAAGGATTTATTTATTTACTTGAAAGAGTTGCAGGGAGGCAGAGGCAGAGAGAGAGAGAGAGAGAGAGAGAGAGAGAGAGTGTTCCATTGACTGGTTCACTCCCCAAATGGCCACAATAGCCAGAGCTGGGCTGATCCAAAGCCAGGAGCGAGGAGCTTCTTCCAGGTCTCCCACGTGGGTGCAGGGTCCCAAGGACTTGAGCCATCTTCTACTGCTTTCCCAGACCATAGCAGAGAGCTGGATTAGAAGTGGAAGCAGCCGGGACTTGAACCGGCACCCATATAGGATGCCAGCACTGCAGGCTGCGGCTTTACCTGCTACACCACAGTGCCGGCCCCCATATGCTCTTGAACTCTGTATAACCCTGCCATGCTCTCTTTACTCTTTACTTCTTGGATGACACCTGTTAGCTACCGAAGGTCTTTTAGTTCTTTCAAACTCTCTTTGACTTTTGTATCTTCTCTCGTACTGTTTTTGACTGTTGCTTGCTTATATTTGCTTCCTCTTATACCTGGAAGATTGCACTCAACCTTCCAGTCTTACTCAGACACGGCTGTTTTCAGGAAGTCTTCTCCACTGCTTCAACTCTGAGTGACAGCGCCTTCCATTACCTCCCTACACTCTTGCACATCGTAACATTGATCTCTGTGAATATGATCAACTCTTTAGGAGTTTCTATTTTTCACTCCCCTGGGAAAATTGTGGCAATGGTGACTTGGCAAATGTTTAATGTGTAGTAGGTAGTTAATAAACACTTGGGGGAAAAAAACAAATGAATGTATCAAAATAAATAAATCCATACTAGGAAAGTCTATCTTGCTGGGTGAGATAAATAATTTGTCTCTTTTATTTCATATCCTTGGATTCAGTGCTGGTAGAATTGTATTTAATTGAACAGGGTGAGGAGGTCATGGAAATATTAAGGTTTGTTGGATCCATAGAGATTATCTTCATTGTATAGATGAAATTACTAAGCCCACGGGAGAGTAAGTCACTCACTATCCCATAGAATGACTCCTGTAACTCCTGCCCTCACATCTTCTTCCCTCTGGGTTTTTAATTCTAACCACATTGATATGTATGAAACGGTGGCCCACTTTTGGAGTTTGTTTAATTTGACTTCTTACGATGACTATTGAGTTAAACATATTTCTATTACTTAATGACTAATTGAGATTTCTCTTTGATTAATATTCAGTTGCCTGTTTATATTGTGTCCATTTTTATTGGGTCACCTATTTTTTATTATATACATTTAGGAATTCTTTATCCTGTACAGTAATTCTTAGTCATTTAAATGACTTGCAAATTTGAAGATACATATGACCCATGACCTAATAATTCTGTGCATAAGCACGTTCCCTTGAGAGAGACTCTTTCCCACATGATCAAGGAGATGTCAGAGAGATTATATTTTTTCTTATGTTGCTCTTTGCAAAAGCATAAAATTGGAGATAGCTAAAATGTATAGTTAGTGAGTGAATGAATCATTAAATTAATGAAATTAATGTCTTTTTTTTTTTTAGAGAGAGAGCACTTCCATCCACTGGTTCATGTTTCAAATGGCTGCAATGGCTGAGGCTAGGCCAAGCAAAGCCAGGAGCTTCATCTGGGTCTCCCACATGGGTACAGGGGACAAGCACTTGGGCCATCTTCTGCTGCCTTCCCAGGCACACCAGAAGGGAGCTCGATAGGAAGTGGAGCAGCGGGGACCCTAACCGGCACACATATGGGATGCCAGCACTGCAGGCAGAGGCTTAACGCCAGAGCACCTGCCCCTAAATTATGATATAATCACACAACAGAAATAGCTTAAATGAACGAACTGACAATGGCAGAAAATACGATGTGGGCCCCCATAGCAAATAACAAATAAATATAAACAGTATTTCATGTGTACAAGCTTAAAAATTCCCATAAAACAATTCTAAACAATGCTTATGTGTAAATATATATAAGCAAAAGACATGTAGCAGAACACCTTTCTCTTCTTGGGAAGAAGACAAAACAGAGATAGGATATTCAATTGAGTCTGGATTTTTTCTTATATAAAATATATTTGTAAAATACAGTAAAATATTAATGTGTTAAGTGTGAGTTGTGGAAAAATAGGTGCCTCTTATATTGGTCTGTGCATTATTTGAAATGTTTCTTAATTAAAGAAAGAAAAATGACAAGTGAGATGTCAGACCCCATTTCCACCTAGAAGAAATTTCTGAGGACTGAGAAAATGGGATGCATTGCAGGGACGTACAGAAGGAGTGTTCTAGTGACAGGAGAAGGCTCTAGGGTAAAGGAAACAAAA